GTACATCAGTATTGAAATGGGGAGGAGACCCATCGTGTATGAACCAAACGTTTCTTCGGGTGTCTAATGGAACATCGTCTAATAGTGGCTGCAAATTATTTTACAAAAACTCCAAATATCGATGTCCATTCAGACGTTCCTCAAAAACGTATGGAACTATTAAATTATTATCCACTATTCCCACCCATACCTTCATAGTGGGTAATAATTTAATAGGTCTATACGTTTTTGAGAAACGCCTGAATGGACATCGATAATTGGGATTGAATACTTACTCTAAACTTATTGTTTTTTTTCTATTTTGTATTATGTGTAAACTGTGTTTGTCAAATTTTGTTAGAGAAAATTACGTTAGATAGTAAGATTTTCTAGGCTCTTATTTTAACAAATACAATATACGGTTGTGACATAGTAATTATGTCCAATTAAAAATTATAAATAAAAAATGGTGTAGGCGCCACTCGATGTACGCTGTGACATAAAATCACAAATATTTCCTAAACTGTTAATTTTATCGAGTTGGCCAAGAGGGTATTATCGTTGGAAAATTCTTCATGGAACTTATTTTTGCTGCAGGCACATTGCGATCGTCACCTATGCAAAAATTCTGCGTTGTTAACCATTGGGCATAGTCCGTCCCTGGCGTTCTGGGCATAATGAAGTTTCACTTACAACATCAAAAACAAGCTCTACGCATGTGCGGTCACCAAATTTGCATCATGCAGAAGTTAACAGTTTAGAGACTAAATAAAAATAACTTTTTAATCCTTTGAGGGCCCGTAACTTGTTGACGAAGGCCCGTATGAAAAAAATTTATATGGAGAACTGATATTATTTTGACCTCACGTATTTGTATCAAGTACCGGGACTCCATGTATTGGAACTAAAACTTACCTTATGCATTGCTTAATACATTTGATAGAAAAATAGTAAATATGGTGTTTTGGATCATAGATGATTTTTTTTAATCGAAGGAATATTACCATACCAGCAAATGTAAAATAATTTTTTTGATTTTTTTTTCGGCTATATGACGACTACGACGACTATTTAAAAATTATTACTGCTTTGATAAGAAATTTATTTGCGTATTATCCTGCGTTTTTTCTAATATTTAGGCAACTGTTAGGTTAAACCATAGTCAAACATTATTTTCGCAGTTCATTTTAGTTTTGAAAACTGCATTTTTACGTGTCATCCACTTTTCTACGCAGAAACAGCAACAAATAATAGGAAAAATCGCAAATTATTATTATTTTATACGAAATGTAAACAGCAAGTATATTTCTATCAGTTACACCCAAAATAGACCTCAACCTTTAAATATATTTTATCACCAAGTTCTTACATATTTTTTTTCTGTTTCTTCTGCAATTTTCTACGAATATTAAAATTTCCTAAAAACTTTTTCACTTGCACATATATACTTGCACAACTATATGTAACATATAAAATTGGTTTTGTTCAAAGTGCGTTTAAAACAGTAAAAACAATTGCAACTTTTTCGCTTTTAGCACGCCGACAATGTTTTGGTAATAGCGCAGCTTTTGACCTTTTTGGGAGACTATAAATCTCAAAAAGGAGGAATAAACCGTTCAATATGGAAACGCCAATAAACAACACCATAAAAACTAAAAAGAGCCGCTATTTGGGTTATATAGTTTATAAGTGAATGTTTTATTAGTCAGGGAAAAGTTTTTTCCGCCATTTTTGTCACCGGAAAGGTCATAAAACGTTTAAAATCTCGTTTTTGATCTGTACAAGACGGACGGTCCACATTTTCACTGAGATTACAAATAATATTTGGTAACCATAAACATGTTTTAAATTTCTAAATTATCAAATTAATTGGATTACGACAATAATTGGTGATGTGAAAAAAATAACCAATTAATTAACGGGTAATTGCAGCACTTTATATGCAAAAATAACGCGGTAATATGTTTGTAGTTATTTAGTTAATGAGTAATTAATTTAATTAAATTATTATTGTATACACTGATAAACATTTTATGTAAAATTGCACACTAGATCATTGGTTTAGTTAAAAAAAGTGCAAAATTGTTAGCCAAATATAATTATGCATTAATATACGAATAACTAATTATCTAGTGTGTAATTTTACAAGCAGTTTTTAATGAGTATGTATTATTTTTTTGGGATTTGGCAAGAGTGAAATTATTTATTCCGAAGTTATAACTTTCTCGGGATAAAGCGGCTTTCTGTGACAAGGCAGCATAAAAGATTTATTTACATTTTAAGGAAAAAAGTAATATAAGTATAAAACCATTATTTTTAAAGCTTAACTTAAAGGAATTTTCATTTGCTCTTTAATTGCTGTTAAAAGTTTGAACACGTTTCGTATTATATTGTATTGAAAAGCGGGGCATTATAAAATATTCTTTATACAACCCAAGAGCGAAGCCTCAAGTTGACCACTGAGCGGTGTTTTTAGAATAGACTCCAATAAAAAGAACTCCGGCTCGACTCAACTTTTCACAAATTTTTAATGAAAACTGCTTTCACCGCCACTTAATACTAATTGCATGATGATGTTTTGGGATCACCCTCCATCTTTTCTTTGCCGTAAATAACTCAAGTACACTTGCTGAATACCGCCAGGTATTTTTAATATTTTTAAGACAGACTAACGTCAAACCGCTGCGCCTCAAGCCTAGCCAAAATGTTTTTATGTCACTTCCTCTGCAAATACGGGGTGTTCCACCTAAGAGGGCCTGTAATTCTGCAACTGTAAAATTAAAAAAAAATGGCTTTAATAAAAGTTGACTGGAATCATGTGGGCCAAGAAAATATTTTTAACTTTGTTATTTTAAATGGAACACCCTGTATATTTTTAAACAGTTGGATTTCTGAGAAAATTCTATATATGGCAATATAAACAGTTTAATATTTTAGTGCGGGGTTGCCAAATTATGTCGAAAATTTTTCGAATTTTGAAAAAAACACGAGCTCGAAGAAGTTGTATTAACTTTCAGCTAGTAACACTTGGAACAAAATAATTAGACAGAGTTATAGGCAAATGTTAGACAAAGGCTCCTATATTAGCTAATATCGATATTTTATACATGGCATTTTTTTTAATACGATAATTTTTAGAAAGTTTAAACTTGATTTTCTAAAATTTTTCAAATGGAACTTATATTTTATTGTTCTATTTTATTCACATATCGGTCCACTTCAACTTTTATTAAGCATGTTCTATATCCAAAATTGTTAGTTTTTAAGATATAGCAACATTTCTGAAAAAATTTAATTTTTATTATTTTATATAATGCCACAAATAAATATTAACTAATAAAATTTACTCAAAATGGAATGATAAATTATGAACAAGTTGACCCAATGTGACAATTTTTTCCAAAGCTATTTCGTGCGATCGAAAATAATAAAAATTAGGTTTTTCCAGAAATCTCAATGATCGTATTATAAAAAATGCCCTGTATAAAATATCGACATTAGCTACTATAGGAGTCTTTGCATAACATTTGTCTATAATTCGGTCAAATATTTTTGCTCTAAGTGTTAGTAGTTAAAAGTTAATACAACTTTTTCGAGGTCATATTTTTTCCAAAATTCGAAGAATTTTCTACCTAACTTGGCAACCCCGCACTAAAATGTTAAACTGTTTATATTACCATATACAGAATTTTCTCAGAGATCCATATGTTTAAAAATATACAGGGTGTTCCATTTAAAAAATGCAATATTTGGCGTGTCCCGTTTTTACTCATCGTCCTGTGTGTTTCAAATTAATTTTGTCCTTTATGTTTTTTGATTTTGTACAACTTTTATATAAAATTTTTTTCTGTATTGTGGATAACAAGGGAGTTATTTTACTTTCTCACACTAATGGCCCACTATATAGGGTGTTAATTAATTATGTACAATAAATTCAACAGACGATTATTTGAGTGATTTTAATACATAAAAGTTCATATAAACATTGGTCCGCAGATGCTTCGTTTTCAAGATATAGTGTGTTAATCTTTTATAAAAAAAATGCTATTTCGTAAATATTTTAAGCACCCTTTACCCAATTTTGTTGTAATTTGGCAGTGTTATTTGTAGTGTTAAGGGCCTAATTTAACCCTAATTTGATTAGATTTGTTAACTCTAGCGGCATCCCGAACGGTACCTTCGGCTTCGGCGAAAAGTTCGGCTTAATTTTGGTCGAAGCCGATTCTTAGCCGAAGATTTAAATAATGGCCGAATGTGGCCGAAGCCGATTAATCGGTCGGTCTCTAGGTGGAACACTCTGTATATCACGAACATCATCTGCTGTATACGTTTAAATATTTGTGCTAGTGAGACATGTTGCTAACACACGGGAATGACGCCGATATTTCGAATTTATTCACTCTTTACTTGCTTTATTCTCCGTTTTTTAGAAGAATTTGCGTCAGTAAAAGGCTGAAAGCTAAACGAGCTTTTTAAACTACCTTTCCGAGACCCATTTAAATAAATGTAATAATTGCTAGATTCGAAACAACCGCTAAAAAGTCTGACAGTGTTACTACAATCAAGGTTGTTTGTTACATAAGATATTTCTGTAATTAACAAGAAAATACTATTCTAAACTTCCTAACCTTATCGGAATTGTCATTAAGTTTACCCGCAACAATATTTTTCACTTTCTTGCTGGCATATTAAAAAAACATTTTATCATTGGCGCATTCGCCAAAATATAGAAAAATGTATTCAATGTTAAAACGATTTAATTGTAACATATTTCGTAGTAGTAGCCACTGCCCTGATTATAACTAATAAATCTAAGTACCCGTTGCTTGTTATAAACCATTGAATACTAGTACCTGAGTAATACCCAGGCTGAACTCATGCACACCATTTTATCGACTCTCCCTTTTTTCTTGCCGTATTTATATTTGCCCACGATTCAGTGGGTTTTCGATTTACATTAGTAGCATGATAACGCCTCCTCGAAACCTTTTTTCCACGCTAACATAAGTTAATTTTTACAGGTTCGAAATATCAGTCAAACCTGAATGAAATCGACAAATCCGAACAAAAATCAAGTTCTGAGGCTGACAGCAAAGGCAGCATATTCGGGATCGCTTCGGATAGCTCTGGAGAGTCATTTTCAAGTGAGTATTTTCTTACTAAATATAAATTTTGTTAGGCTCGCGGCAGTAAATTTTCGTTATATACATAAAAAATTAAACTTATAAACAAACAGAGGTCCTAAATGGGTTGGTTCCTAATGTATATAACTACAGGGTGTTAATGAACTTATGTCAAAAATTTAAAGGGGTGAAAAAGGAGCAAAAACTGAGTTAACTGATGTCACAAACTTGTATCGGCAGTTTAAGGTCATAGAGAAAAAAGCTAATTAAAAATGTGTTTAAAACAGTTTTGATACTGCTGAAATACATGTATTTTATCGCGGCAAGTACTTACAAAAAATTCTGTAACACTTTTTACGAGTTTGTAGGTTTCTTCGAAAGTCAATTTGTAATACATTGTTGTAGTGATTGCTGTGCTATTTTTCGAGAGTACATTTAATAGCCGTATTTCCAAGTTTTCTTTTGAAAATGGCGCATTTATTTAGCAATGTTATGATATGCTCATAATTTATGGCGAAGCGAACGAAAATGTCCACAGAGCTCAAGTGTACCGTGCAAGATATCCTGAACGAAGTGCCCCCGCACCGCGAATGTATGTTGCGTTAGCGCGAAGAGTTTTGGACACCGGTGAAGTACAACCGCGTCGAAGGCATAAGTTCATTAACACCCTATATATGGATATACATATTTGGAGGGTAATAGGAAAATTATGTTTATATATGCTGTATTTTCTGCTGGAAAAATATTTGGAGGGAAGCTAATAACGGTTATACAATTTTATGGGATTCCGCAAAACATATGAAGTAAAGGACTGCAACAAAGATCTTTTATCAAATTTCATATATGCCCACATAAGAAGTCATGAACACTTCACATCTGTAAAGGTTGTAGGAAATGGAGTTTTCTCAATTTCCTAGAACCGTATTGACCTGTGTCCGTTTGCACCCCTCCTTGACTTTCTGTCTACATTTATGTCAAAACTTTGTAATATCTGTTCCAACTTGAAAGAAATCATTTTATAAATGCTACATAAAGTAACTGCTTACGTATTACAAGCAGAACGAATTACGCTTTATTTCGCCTCCTTTTGTGCCGTATACTCCAAATACAAGCACATTACATGTTTTAATAAAATAGTTGAAACACTTTCCTCTTAACACAGCGAGGAACATATTTTTAACGTATTCTTTCACAGGCGTGCGTCGGATTAAGATTTTAAGTTAAACACAATATATCACTTCATTTTTAATGTGGAATCTTCTCAAACATGGGCACTTTTCTGTATCTGCTTAGAGTTTTACACTGTAAAAAAAAATTGAGTGAAATTTCACTCCAATTGCACTCAATAATGTATTAATTTATGTTTACAACCGATTAAGTGAAATTTTCTCGCTATTAGTATGACTACAATTGAAATTTATGAGTGAAACTATTGCAGCAGAAGTAGGTAATTTTACTCAGATTAAGCTTTTAAGTTGAATAAAAAATACTAAAAATACTTCGTTATTCTTATTATTTGTTTTAATTTGGCACCTTCCCAAACATGAACACTTTTTCTGTATCTTCCTAGAGTGTACGCCGTAAAAAGAATTGAGTGAAATTTCACTCAAATTGCACTCAGTAACGTATCAATTTCTGCTCATACCCCGTTTAGTAAAAATTTTTACTCTATTAGTATGAGTCTAACTGTAATTTTATGAGTGAAATGAGCAGCAGAAATGAGTAATTGAAATTAGTGTTACACTGTAAAAGAAAGTGAGTGAAATTTTACTCAAATTGCACTCAGCAACGTATCAATTTCTGTCCACACCCGATTTAGTGAAAATTTTCATTCTATTAGTTGTGGAGTACAACTGAAATTTTATGAGTGAAACTATTGCAGCAGAAAGTGAATTTACGCAGATTAGGCTTTTCAGTTAAATAAAAAAAGTACTTCGTTATTCTTATTATTTGTTTGAATGTGGCACCTTCTCAAACATGAACACTTCTCTATATCTCCTTTGAGTCTTACGCTGTAAAAAGAATTGAGTGAAATTTCACTCAAATTGCACTCAGTAATATATCACTTTCTGTCCGCACCCGATTGAGTGAAAATTTTCACTCTATTAGTATGAGTACAACTGAAATTAGTATGTGTCTATAATTTTATGAGTGAAACTATTGCAGCAGAAATGAGTAATTTTACTCAGATTAAGCTTTTAAGTTAAATAAGCAAATACTTTTTCGTTATTCTCTGTCCATGTTTTAATGTGACACCTCAAACATGGACACTTTTCAATATTTGCTTAGAGTGTTACACTGTAAAAGGATGTGAGTGAAATTTCACTCAAATACTCAGTAACATATCAATTTCTGTCCACACCCGATTTAGTGAAAATTTTCACTCTATTAGTATGAGTACAACTGAAATTAGTATGAGTCCAACTGTAATTTTATGAGTGAAACTATTGTAGCAGATGTGAGTAATTTTACTCAGATTAAGCTTTTAAGTTAAATAAAAACATACTTCTTCGTCATTCTCATGATTTGTTTTAACAAATAACTGTAAACAACACATACTGTAAAAAAATTGAGTGAAATTTCACTCAAGTTGCTCTCAGTAATGTATTAATTTCTGTCCACACTCGATTGAGTGAAAAATTTTGACTCTATTAGTGTGAGTGCAACTGAAATTTTATGAGTGAACCTATAGTAGCAGAAGTGAGTAATTTTACTCAGATTAAGCGTTTAAGTTAAATAAAAAAATAGTTCTTCGTTATCCCTATTATTTGAACGCTCTGTATATGAGATGGGATAAACAACAATTTACAGATTGACCCTTCACCCTAGGCATATAAATGTGGTATGCGAGGCTGGGGTACATAATTCAGTAAAGGAATCTCTCAAAAGCTATTCTTTCCTGTAAAGGTTTGAACTTCATCTCTTGGGAATGACTTAGCTCACTAGGGGAGCGCAAAGTTCAATTCTTCAACTCTTAATGCGTTTACCTTCACGATTTCACATTTTTTCTCTCTATACTGTAATTAGATTTTTTTAAAAATAGTGCTAGTAGTAATATGCAGCCCTTGCCTCGCACAAGCCCAATGTTAGAACAGTTAGAAATAATACTTTTGTACCAGTATCTAAATTCATTTAATCTACTGCCTCTTATGTCGTATATGAGCTAGTGACAAAAACCACGTATTTGAGCTTGTTTGTCATGATTAAATTCTGGAAAAGCATTTTTAACCACCTTTTCATTTATTCGTATGTACAGTTAGTTCATCATGGAACATCCTGCGTTAAATTTCCTAGGTGTTGGTAGCGCTAATGTGATTTTTTGCGTAGTTGTGTAGAGGAGATAAGAGTGTGCGACAAAATTAAATATGCACGACTCAACGGTTTTACATAAACTATCAACAACTAATAGCCATAATAAATTAAAATAACGCCACCATTATTTAGTGCATACATAAAATGGATGTCGCGGCAAAGAGAATATTATATGCGATGGGGGAAGCACATCAAAGACAATGTGTGTTGAAACTCTAAATCTAAGACGATCTTTTGGCCTTTCCTTTCACATTTGAGGGCATCAGTTCCTTCTGGAGATGAATATTTTAACATCCCAATCGGTATTACTGACGTTCTCTTCATAGGCCCAACTATCTCCTTTAATTCAAATTGTACAGGGCGTATTGGGAATGCTACGACAAACTTCCTCCTCCTTAAGAAAAGCAATACGAATTCTTGCGGATGTGCCTGGCTTCACTTTAAAGTTTTTTAATTGTAGCTCCAAAACGAAGCAAAATTTCGGTATAGTTCATAGGAGAAATTATTTAGAGAATTGAATTTCCCATGGAAATAGCTTATTTCAAAAATTTAAAAGGAAAATTTTATGCAAAAATATCGTTAATAAACCATTTGAAAAAAGCAAAAAATTCGATTTTTTGTTTTTTTTTTACTTTTTTGGCTCTAGTTTTTTTTTGAGAACTTCATAGAAAAAAAAGTAGAGAAAATTTCCTTCAGAACAAGAGGTTGTAAAGTATTTTTGGATGAAAATTGACTGATATATGGCCGCTCAAACTTAGCCAATTTTTCGATTTTCGTCGCGTTTACTCTTATACGTTTTAATTCTCATTTTTTGCAAAAAAGGAAGGAAATAAGACGTTCAAGGATTTTCATCACATGACTTGTTCGAAGGGTCATTAAAAATGAAAAAACCGCGGGCTGCTATTAAATTAGATGGCTGAAATTGAAGATAGGGGTGAAAAAGCACTTTTGCAGTTTTTTAAATATAGCACGAAAACGACGCAAAATTTCGGTATAGTTCACAGCAAAAATTTTGTAGAGAATTGAATTTCTCACCGAAATGGGTTATTTAAAAAATGTAAAAGGAAAATTCTATGCAAAAAATCGTTAATAAACAATTTTAAAGGAAGCAAAAAATAAGGTTTTTTGAGTTTTTTTTTACTTTTTTAATAAAATAATTTAGTAAAAACTTGAGAATTTAAGTACAATAAAGTTTATTAATAGTGTACTAGGTTGACCCGGCAAACGTTGTTTTGCCATATAAATTAATCCTAGGATTATTTTAGTAGTTTTTTCATAAAGAAATTTCACTTCTACCATCTATATTATATTTAGTGTTATTCAGTGTATATCGTGTATATTTTTTTTATTAATAGTAATAGTAAATGTCATTCAAACAATAATAATAATGGCCGAAAACTGTAGGGAGTGAGAAACGGCTCATTGTGTGAGAGAGATCTCATCCCTACTCCGTGCTGTTTACTGGGTCAGAAGTGACACCGGTCGACGCCTGGCGGGGATAAAAAAAATGATCAAGTGATAATTGATCAGTTATCGACCGGGGTTGAAAATTATTGAATTACTAATATTGCTATTAAAAAATAAGGGTTGATGGTAGAAGGGTGAAAATTTAGGATTGTATGTATTTTTTAAGGCCACATCATAAAAAAATAAAAAAAATAAAATTTTGTCCAAAAAACAAAAAAAAAATTTTGGGGTGGGCCACCCTTAACATTTAGTGGTATGAAAAATAGATGTTGGCCGATTCTCAGACCTGCCCGATAAGCACACAAAATTTCATCAAAATCGGTCCAGCCGTTTCGGAGGAGTACGGGAACGAACATTGTGACACGAGAATTTTATATATAAGATATACAGTGTGTCCACGGATGGAGTTGACAAGAGGAGAAACACTTTTATTTTTGACTTTACTTTAAAACTAGAGGCAAAAAAGTAAAAAAAAAACAGAAAATCGAATTTTTTGCTTTTTCAAATTGTTTATTAACGATTTTTTGCATAAAATTTTCCTTTAAAATTTTTGAAATAAGCTATTTCTATTGGAAATTCAATTCTCCAAATAATTTTTCCAATGAACTATAGCGAAATTTTGTTTCGTTTTCGAGCTACAATTAAAAAACTGAAAGGGGTGCATTTTCATCCCTATCTCCAATTTCCACCCTCTAATTTAATAGCACTCCGCGGTTTTTTCATCTCAAATGACCATTTGAAATCCTCAATTCAATAGCCTATGTGTTAGGCAAGAAACTTACTATTTCAATTTCACTTAGACGCGTATATCTTTGTTTCAGGTAGCTTCCATGGCGTCAAGATCTTCCTTCTAACCCAAATCATCTTGCTTAGGGCACTGCGGTGAACGGGTATAACAAAATATTAATCATTACTTTATTATTTAGTAGAACTATAACGGTAAGTTCAGGTAACAAAACCACAAGGACGCTTAATATTGAAAGCATAAGTGTACAATTGTTTATATATAATCTAATTTACACAAAGACTGACATATTGGTTAGAGAAATATAGTTTATGATGACGATAGTTTAGGTGTACTTGGCGTACGACGCACTCAGTTGTTGAAAATTCCAAGACGAAAATTATTATTATTATTATTATTATTATTATTATTATTATTATTATTATTATTATTATTATTATTATTTTGGAACTGGACTGAAAGGAGAATCAAACTATTAACGTATCTTTTAAAAGAGACACTTGGAAAAAGATATGTTAAACATTCTAAAACAAACCATTGCATGTATTAACGAAAAACTATTTATGTTTAGATGTACAGAGTGTTCGTTATTTTTTTTCTAGCTTGAACCAACTGTAGTTTTAATTCTAGTGCCAAACGACCTCAGTGCCAAATTACACAGTTCCTGTCAACTTGCAGACGAGCACTCTAAATTTCCATAGTTGATTTGTCTTTAACGAGTATTTTTTTAAATCAGTAGTATGCCGAAATTGGATACTATATATGTAGCTTTTATAGCGTCCAAATGTTTCTGTATGTACAATCTATATAAATGTAAAACTTGTATATATATAAATGCAGAATTAAATTTATGTACACCTCAAATTTAGTGGATATTAACAGTACAAAACAAATGGAAATAGAATAAAATATCTTATTTACCCCCGTTTTGGTTATTAAGATACCTTTGCAAGTTTTATTGCGCGTAGAGCTTTTGAATTGGACTGGCATCTGCTACTGAAATCTTATGTATTCATGGATGATGTACTTTTCTATTCTTGTTAGGGATGAAATCGAATTCAATGATAAATTTTGCATGGCAGCTCGCGTGATGGATAGAAACAACATCGTCCCTCTTTTTTCATCCTTCAATATTAAAATTTTACTCTCCGCATACACGCATAGACATACAGAGTGGTTAATATCGACCACACGTGGAATTCGTATTCTTATTAAAAAAAAAGAAAAACTTGCAATATTTAGAACCATTTAGCATATCTATTATATCAGTAAATGTCTGTAGTCTAGATAATAGGTTTTGTTAAATAATCTTTTACGCAAAGATGTTGTTCAGGAAGCATTAAAATACAGGGTATTAGAGTTTTTAGTGCCGGTAAGTTTTCACTTGTTTATTCTATTTTCAATTGTTTTAGTCTCTAGAATAAACGCTTGCAGTTATCGAAACATTGTTAAAATTTAGTTCCGTTGATATTTTCATAATCTCATAGAACGTTGTTTTAACAGAAATAAATAATTTATTGAAGTTGCTTTTAATGTAATGTAATTTTCATAAGCAATTTTAATAAATTATTGTAATTAGGACTTTTCTATGTATTCGCCATTTGACTATAAATAATGAGAACCGAGGTAATTCAATTAAAGCATATGTGAACTATGTATTGAAATGTACATAATAAAAATAACTAACCACATCGTGTGTTTTCCTAAAAACTAAACATTGAATCCTATTCCCAATACCATTCTAACATTTTTTCTCAATAAATAGGTAAGTACCGATACTTTCTCAAAAAGTCTTAGTTTGTTTGTATTTAATTTGTAATGTTTGTAATTTAAAGTTGTAAATATTTATCAATCTTGCCGGGTTTTTAATAATTTTATTTTTAAAATCAATGTCAAAACAAATATTTTATTGATAATACTTTTCCCATCGACTCTTCCATACCAAACCCCTGATAAAATCAATGATATCTGAAATAAAAATTACACCAGTGTCATTATATTTTAAAATTAGATTCGAACTTAATTTATATTCTCAAGTAAATAAGTAAATAATAAATACATTTCCTTAATTATATTCTTAATACTTATCCGATATTTACTGAAAGAATGTAGATCTGGCAACATCGCACCTTGGTCGTTACCACGCGGATAAAAAAATGGGATCCGCAAACCGTAACCGAAATATTTTTTTGTCAATAATTCATCTTAATTTTTCTTAAAAAGAGCAAAGTTATCTGTTAACTGTGGAGTTACTTATGAGAAGGCAATAATATGCAAAAAATACTCAATATTGTTAAAAAATTAACATTGTTCTTTAGTGATGGTAAATGTAATAAAACACCAGTTAAATGTAAACTTTGTCGTTTGAGAAGCTCCAAGCTTTCAAATTTCACCCATGTTTCCAGTCCTCGCCAACTCGTTTGTTTTGGGCGCTACCTCACTTTTTCGAACACATTTTGCTGTTGAATTTGAATGTATCTACTTTAATGAACAAATATTGGGGTTCATTTGATATTTAAAAAAATTATGTTTGATGATTTCACCCGTTCAAATCCACACCAAAATGTTATTTGTCCTGGATGCTATCCAACTTTTTTCAAGTAGAGGACATTGCGTTTTTAAACTTGTGTTTGAATTTAAGGTATATACTTTTCTTTATTATAATAGACTCTTTTGGTGTAAAGTCACATATTTAGGCAACCCGCAACAATTTGTCATAGTCAAAATTGTACAGACCGAATCTGATTCTTGTGTACTATTTACATAGATACCATAGAAAAGAACAACTTCAAACTAATTTATTTTTACAAGGACGTTGAAGTATTTAAGAATTTAATGTGCTTAAAACTATACAAAAAATGATATAAAAAGAATATTGCTAAATTTAAATAAAGTAAAAATTTAACATTAGCCCTGTTATGCCTAATGCGCATGCTCGAAAAGAATAGCGTATACGCAAGTGAGATCTTGTTGATATGTAATCGCTGTCATCATTAGCGTATTTTCTCTTCTTTTGTTTAAATCTTGGCATTTTCTAGTTCTAAGAAGTATTTTTATTGTTTTTCTTGGTGTTGTGCTGTGTCAGTGGGTTTATAGAGTTTTTTATGTGGTTTATTATAGACGTACTCTTAAACCATAACCAAATTTTTCTTGAATGATGTCCTGTTGCGAGCCTCCATTACTTACACGAAATTATCTTTAACGCGCATGCTCAGTAACATTGATATAATTTTAATTTATTATTTGCTATAAAAGTCAATATTGCTCTATAAATTTAAATACATAAAGTCTATAATTCTTTTAGTTTGTCAAATATTTCTAATATTGCCAGAATATCGCGATATTTTAGATCATGACAAAGAAGAAATTTTTTTGCACTTATATCCAAAGTACATAAGGTTGAAAATCGATCTAGTAAAACATTGAGAAATTCTTCATGTCAATGTGCTCTATGGCGTACGTGACGTCACTACAAAAAAGGTCTACTTTTCTTAATTTGAATGAATTTTATTGGTTTTAAGTAAGACTGTGCAAGCACATTTATTGCCAAACACTGTTTCGCTTTTCTGTTTCACCTTATCCAGTAATTGTTACTTTATTCCGTTGGATGTTATCTTTACAAGTAAATAAATAATTAATATATATTTTTCATCATGTTCTTGACCCGTCCGATACTTACTGAAAAAACGTACATCTGGCAACACAGCATCTGGATAAAAATTGAGTCCCCTAAAATATAACTGCAATATTTCAAGTACACGATCCCCTTTCCATTTTGGAGAGGTGATGGATGACACCATTAAAACACAACTACTGTCGAAGTATCTGAAGCCTTTAGGCACTTCCGAAGGCTGCCGATACGGTTTCTCACTAGGGCGGCGTGCTACAGGTGATCTCTTTATAAACGAGACGCATCTGTGGAAAACTTCGAGGAATCAAGTGTTAGCTCCCTCCCTATTGTCCCCAGAAACAATTGACAAGATTTAAACAAGTTTTGATTTGGCACGGAATCAATTGAGCTTCTAAAAGCACGCCGTACAGGGTGGCGGAACGCTTGAAAAGTAATTGGCCATCTCGCTAATAAATAGCACTATTTCAGTGCTTTAAATTGAATAATTACATAGAAACGCGCTCTTCTACAGGGTGTAACAGAGACGTTGCGGAAAACTTTCAAAACACTTAGATGAATACTTTTCAAGTTAGATTGGTTTAAAAATTAAGAAATAGAAAATTTTACCAACCTTTAAAATCAATATTTATAATTGTCAATAATTCACTTATTGACATTTATTTTTCTTTCTTAAAACGAGCAAAATCGATATTTAACTCTTGAATTACTTATGAGAAGGGACTTATTAAAATGCAAGAAATACTCAACACTGTTTAGAAATAAAAAAGTATTCAAAACATTATTCTTTGGTGATGGTAAACATAATAAAACACCAGTTCAATGGAAACATTGTCAAATTTTATCCGAGATTCCAATTCACGCCAAGGAGTCGACCATAGAGTCCAAAAATGCTAAATATCACGCGTTTGCTCTACATCAAAATTTTCATCGATCTTTCGAATTTCGCCACCGGGCTTGTTGACTTCAAATACAAAGCTTGATGATGTTAGCAGAATAACTGTCGAAAACCACTGATGTTTCGAATTTTCTGGGAAATTCACACAAAACCGCTCAGCGACCACTAAACATGCCATCCAACGGTGCCGAGATATCAAGATCGTCCCAGGAAGAGCAGAAATCTCTCCAATGGGAATCTGACGAATGCCTCAAGAGGTGCGATTGAACGTCCACCCTGGTCATTTGCAGATCATTAACCAAGACCAGGTGCTTGGCCAGTACTTACTATAGACTCTAAACTATCATTATCGTTGCATCGTATGTAGTCTATTGCATGTAACCGAATCAATATTATTCACAAATAATATTCAACTGACATTTTATATTCAATGTTGTTGCAAACTCAGGATGAGACCTAAATCATCAATCTAGCGAGCAAATCTCTTTAGTCTTCACTAGTCTTTCGTTTTTCGTCTTTCGAAAATTTCCATTTTCAGTTTAATTGAAACTTCCATATCTACTTTTAAGCACAAAATGGTTACAAAATATTTTGTTCAGTTATAAATGTATATTAAGATGCGCGAATATTGTAACACTGTATGAAATATAATTGTCCTGCTAATTTTCTGCATTTTTAACATTAAATCATACAGTATGCGGAAAAAACTGAGGATCCGAAGAAAATTTTCTTTAACCTCAAATAACTTTTTTACCATTAGAAACCCCTCAAATCCCATTTAATTCCGACGCTACTGTTTTTGTTCAAATTATACATGTACAGCTATGGCCAAAAGAACGTTTCCAACAAGGTTATTTAAAGGACGAAATTAATAAAATTCCATTTTAGAGAATCATATGCAGTTTATGCTGGAAACTTTTTATTGTCCGCAGCTGTACCATGAAAGAAATAATTTGAAATATCCAATAGTTCCTAATTAATCGATCAAAACCTGTGTTTCGCGTCCAATCAATGTTTGAAGGATTGTAAAGCCCATTGAAGGAACAATTTTAAGAATAAATGTTACTATTGTTCTTTTTTCGGTGTACGGTAGAAATCAGTACTGAAATTTTGTTGCGACGTCGCTGTCACATCTTCTATAATCAAATAAAAATATGATCTTTTGGTCGTATGCATATTACCCGGGAAAAGAGGAAATGTAAAATAAACGTTAATCTACTAAATGTAAGTATTTTGAAAAGGCTAACCAGATTAGTACCCTGCATTTTTAATCAAATTGAAGTAGTTGAACGTTCAGTTTCATGTAATTCAAAAAAATATCAGGAAAGAATTCACTTTTCTGGCATGAAAATATGTTACTTAGATTCTAGGAATGTCTGTGTTTTGAATATCGAAAAATTTAATGAACTTTTTGATTCAAATTTGTATACGGTGATTCAGTCATAATGTCATTAATTTTAAGGAAAGATAATTAAAAATGAGTAGGATAGGAATACGCAATTAAAAAAATATTAAAAAGCATATTTAGCGGAAAAAAAATATTTTCAAATCATTCGTACCGCTCCTGACAGCTGACATACAAAGGTTTGTCAAGAGTGAATCTTGACTTACCGTATTCGGTCATTAACCTAGCCTTTAATGCGTATTTAATCCATAGCAACAACGAATAGCAGACCTTTTTACTTATACACATGAATCAATAAGATATTTTTTACGTTTTAAATATTAACAAGCATTATTTATTTGTTAATAAAAACAAATGTATAACAATAATAATTATTTTCGAATGTTAGGTTATTACAATTTGGCATTTTTAATATTGTTAACGTTTTCACTATGTTTTCTAAGTTAATATGAGTTTTTTGTATTATGTTCTATTAATTATTCAGTTTATAGTACGTAGTGATATTGCTTTTCAAAGAGTAGTGTGGTACCTACCTATTTAAAGTGCCAGTACAGCTAAAAAAAAAACACTTATCCGTCCATAGTACTTTGTTAATAAAGTTAGGACTCGCTGCATTTTGATTTTGAAACCAATAACAAAATTCAAGACGATTGGGGAAATCAGCTGTTTCGCTTCAACGTTCGAACGCTTTGTAATTCGCCGGCGGGCGAGTTCCCTTCGGAATACGTGTATCGATCACCC